ACAAGATTTGAGGATACGACAACAGACAGAGTGAGTTAAATAAAATCGTGTAAAATATTTAAAATATTTTTTGGATCTTTGTATGATAGAATATAGTCTTGTCATCAGTATGACATAAGTATACCAAGTTTTCAGTCGATAGCACATTGGGAAGTGGGTAAAAATTGAGTAACAAGATTGTTTGAGGATACGACAACAGACGGAATGAGTTAAATAAAAGCGTTTAATAATAAAAAAAACATCTACTTTTTCGACCAAATGTATTACATTTCTCGATTTAAAGCTTTCGTGACTGCAGGGATTCATCTTCTTGGTTCTTTTGGTAAAGTTACGTAGGTGAACCTGAGGACGGCTGCTTGCGTTGTGGCCGAAATAGTCGTGAGAATTGTATTTCATTATGTTAAATTTTTATTATTTTATTATTTCCCTTCTACGTGACTTTACCGAAAGAACCAAGAAAATGTATTACAGTTGCCATTCTGGAAATGATGCTAACTACATCCGGTGTCACATGACAAAACACTGTTGAGGATGCAAGGGGAAAACCATCTCAACTGTCCTGCCCTGGTTATGGCTCAAGAAGTCCAGGGTTGGGTGCCGTGTCATGAATTGAAGAGGCCTTGGGATTGGATGGAATTGAGAGGGCCTGCAACCACAGGCATGTCCTTGGGCAGATAACTTAAGTTAAAGAGTAACAACAAAAAATGAACACTCGACAATAACACCTTGGCCTTAAAAGAAAACATATATGGAATAGGCGAAGGTTTTGGCAATGATAATAATAGTTGGAGGCTGCAGCATCAAGAAGAAGTAGGATTTCATTTGTGCAATTGGCATAATTGCTTGAGTTGACGTTGTCGTTCATAACTCTCTTACAGAGCAGTGCATCACCCCACGTGTTAAGGAATGGCCCATAGAAAGAGATATATAACTGCATCCGAAATCCCTTTTTATCCACACACCGCGAGACGAACTTCCCCGCATACCATGCAAACAGAGAGCTATCTTCGTCGCACGACAGTACAATTGATACTCAGCCTTGATTCTCTCGGCTGGAATCCATCCAATTTGAAGTAACAATGATCCGATTCAACTATTGAATTTTTTGTCGCTGCTGCATCCAATCATTGACGACCGGTCTGAGGCCCCCAACTCACTCGACTGGAGGGGCCGGTTTAATCCAAGGTCAGTGGCTGGATCCCAGATTCGATCCCAGGATCTACGGAGTGCTGGCCCGGTATCTTAGAGTCCTGATTCACACATCCACCACGTCCTTACCGCAGCTTAATTGCAGCTTTCCAGCATCTCCACCGATAAACATTGTATATGGGCTGTTCTGTTTTATTGCATTGTTATTCCAAACGTAGGTGGACATTTAATTCTATGTTTACAAATTGAACAAAAAATTACGCTAAATTGCTGCAATAACGTTTTTTAAAGTTTGTTATTATTATTTTTCTTTAATCCATCTATTTTTCCCAACAACGTTATGCGCTTGTAATGACGTCTCAAACATTGTCCACAACGCGGTGCAGGATGTGCGTTTGGTTTCCAGTAAACACTGCCTTTATAATTGATTTTCGAAATAATGTAGAATTAAGTACTATGATTACTTCAAATTGATTTTTTTTAAATACAAAACACATCTTCCACATACGTTTTATTGAAACACGTTTTGATAATATTCTGCAAATAGTCATGAAATAAGTTCAGAAGTGGGCCTTTTTTAATACATAGCACAAACGCACACTTTAATAATCCAGAACATAAAATACGAAACATTACGATTTTCTCTATGGGTGGCAGTCATATGGAATTCATTCAAATGCGTCCGTTGGCCAATGTACTGTCAACAAATATCGCATGCGCGTACACACACATACGAGCAGTGGCAAGGTCCAAGGTTCTGCAGCTTGGAAACAAAACAATTCCAAGTTGTGTTCATAAAGCATTCAAGGATGCGTGCTTGCGGAGTGCACCACTCTGCACGGTGATCCGTTCATAAATACTCACTCCCCAGATTTTCTAATCACCCAAATTTTTTTTTTTGGCAAGCCCTCCGAAGCGTCGTTTCGGGTCGCACTCGCGCGTTGCTCGGCTCGACGTTTCGCGACCGGCGCGCGGTCGCGAAACGTCGAACGGTGTGCAGTGAGCAACCTCGAAAGGCACTGCAGAGCTGCGCAGAGCAAACCACAACAGCCTAGGGCGGTAGTGTCTCGCTTCCCCTTGTCGGCAAAGTCAAAGAGTGATCCCCTACTCAGGTGAGCAATGAGGCGGCGCGCACATCTGCCGCTCGCGAGCGCCGAGACGCCGATGGAAATTCCAAAAATTCAAATGGTGGGGGCCACGTTTATCCATAAGGCAACCAACTGTTCTTGTAAACGGGCGATTTGATCGTGTGAAAGCGATGGCTCCACGTCGCACGGAGGAGAGAGTTCGCAGATGTAATGCGTGGTATTGATATTGGTGGGAGACATGCAGAGGCTTCGGAATATAAAATGCTATTTTCGCTTAGAATTTCTCCCCGTTATTTTCGAGTGGTGTATCCACAAACGGGTCGCTCTGCGCACAAGGGATGTGAGAGAAACATCCTTGGCACTTTGGCCCAAACAAAATGTCCTTGTTCAACTTCTTTTGAAAGCAAAAGCCCCCTATTTTCCGTTGGCTTTGCGGCCTAGATAATTACCTTTCGCTCATATTGTCGCAAAGAGTCCACGGTCCGTTCTGCAAGGCAGAGATATTTATTTGTTCACGTGGGTTTTTTTTTCCTTTTATTCATTGCTCCATGAATCATCTCAGCCTTCTCGCGAATAATCTCTCTGTGCAGCTCGATTGAGCTATTATAGCCATTATACATCGTATATCGATAAGATATCTTTCCTAACCAGGGCCCCCCTTGTAAACAAGCAGCATGAAACAGAATGAACCCACTTTGCACACATGCATTCAATCGAGCTCGGCTACCTAATCTGTGTAAAGCCTCGTGTACCTGACCTGTATTTAGGCCTTTTTTATTTTTCAAAAGTGCTGCTACATTTCTTTTCCTTAAAGTTCGCCTCCAAGAGCAATACCCCACGATTGAGACTTGCGAGACTAATCGATGAGCGGCGAAAAATAATATCCGTAGGAAAACACAGGATATGTTTTGGTCAGCGCACTACACTCTGAACCCGGTGACGTGAGTTTAATTCCTAAGCCCAGGCAAATATATCTGAACCATCCCTGCGCCCCCCCCCCCCCCCACCTTCACCAACCCGCACTGACCAGCGTGGCGAAGTATATTCAAACAACCCCGATGACCAGTACAGCATGGGGAGGCCTCGACCAGCAGTGGATTGCTAAAAGGGCCGTGCGTTATCATGAATTGTTGCATTATAGTATCGATGCTCCACAATGCCAGTTATCGACCCAGGAGAAGTCTCAGTGAGTCTCAAGACTCTTTTTCTTTCTTTCAGGAGGGTCCCTTGCACTTGGATGTTTGAGTCAACTCCACGAGCGCTTGACTTCGCGTCGGAGGAAATTGGAGAAGCCGGAGGAAACCCATCACGCATACGAGAGGGCCACGTTCTTGCCCCGTGTCTACAACGCCTGTAAAGCCCCAGCGAGCACCGACCAGGCTCAGAAAAGCTGCTTAGCTTCTGAGATATGATGAGATCACTATGGAGACAAAGGCGGCCGAGTGTAGTGTTGGCCACCCACCCCCTCGTGTGCCGTGCTGGCCTTCATAGGTGCTCCCTAACAGCACTTGCCCCAACCGTCTGTTAAGTCTATACGGGGGATCCTTGTTAGTACACTGTGCAATGATATTTTTCCACAACAGAAGCCAAGCCATGCTGCTGACATCACACATAATTAACACGTACATGGCCCTGCTTAGCCCCAGAGGCAGAATGAGATGTTTTGTGAGACCAGTGTAGCACGGTTTAGTTCTGGCTCGGCATGGCAAATAGCAGGTGGAAAAACGGCAAATAGCAGGTGGAAAAACACCAATACCGTGAAGGATCTGCGATTGCTCAGTTCGGATGTGCTAGTGGAAAAGGGTTGTTAGTGACTGAAAAACAAAAACTAGGCCACGCACAACAGCAGTGACACGTGCTGCGTTCATCTCATCTGGATCTCCCATAGGTCAACTCAACCTGAAATGAGTCTGCGGTTCGCTTTTGGCCATGCATGGTGCTGGCCACGCCACCACTCTGCTCCCTTGCATCACTTGTCACGACAGTAAAACATTTGACTCCACGTCAATTACAACAGTGGTTAGCACTAAGCACATGGCGGCATTGTGAACCCCTGCGACCTGCATTTGACTCCTTGCCACAGCTAATATCAGTGGTGAGTAATATCTGATCCAGTCCTAGCGCACTATTCACCAACAGGCGCTGACCATCATGGCGAAGTATGGCAAAAAATAACCGTAACAAGCCACAATTATGGGAGGCCTTCATCCAGCAGTGGATACAAAAAAATGTACCCTTGCATGTGTGGAACATTAGGAATGGACCAATCTTTTTATTATTTCCTCGTGCAGAAAGGGAGGAAAGTGTGGTTTTGTGAAAAGTCCTTATGTGCTGTGCAGTACATCAATCCACGTGTGTACACCAGCTTGCGATGACTTAGTTGGGTCAGTGGGTGGCTGGCAGGGTTATTGATTAACTGGACTTGGACACCAGTCACGTGGTTAATGGCGACTCGGTTGAGGATTGCTGTGTGTGACACACGTGCTGTTGCATTTTACAGATTGACCACAATAAACGTGTTTGACCTCGATTTGGAGCACCTGCCCACGTCCTTCATTTCAAGTGTGCAACACATGTACACATACATGCACGGGCTGTGTGTGCATTTGCACTCTTCTCGTCCATCTGCCGGGCCGGGTTGGCGGGGGAGGGGGAGCGCATTGGGGGTGGGGGACAAGCCAAGTGTGAATTTAACCAAAAAAATCCTTGTCTTCTGCGAACAATCTTGATTTGAAGCGAACAGTCAAATCATCACCGCTCCGCTCAGGACAAGAGGCAAAATCCACAGCACTCAAAGCAGATCTCCACGCAGTCCGACGACTCGCAGCATCCCTGCAGCATCCCGCCGTCAACGTCTCCGCACAGCCCGCACGGGGGCACGTCCTCCCCAACCTCGGGGCCGCAGCAGCAGCAGCAGTAGACGCAGCAGCAGCCGCAGCAGCAGCAGCGGCCGCCCAGCTCGGCGCCCGAGCAGCAGTCGCCGCCGAGACAGCGTTCGGCATCGCCCGCGCCGCTCTCCTCCGCGCAGGAGCAGCAGTGGCGGCAGCAGCAGATGCAGGACAGCAGCATCCAGCACAGGGACGCAAACTCGCAGTAGAGGCACGCCAGCACGCTCCGCACGCAGCAGTCTGCAAGCGGCGGGGGGCAGAGCGGGTGGGTGGGTGGATTGAGGAACGCATAGCCAGGGAGGAGGGTTCGTTGTTGTCGCGGCGAGCGTGGGTGGGAGGGTGGCAGCTCCGCCGTGTTTTTATTTTTAAACTCTGCAGCTACTTTTAGCCGTGTCCGGATTATTGGGATCGCTGCATGGGATGGGGATTAAGGACTACAGTTGATGCCGTCCTCCCAAATGAAGCGGTATTTCCCCTGGGCACACAGCTCGCTCCGTTTTAACTAGATGTCGCGTCTTGGAATTGCCAGGAGCGATTTTGTGGGGTTTTTTTTTGCTGCGTTGGTTTCGTAAACTTTGTTCAAGTGCGTGTTTACCCGCACCTCGTGTCAGCTGGTGTGGATTGATGGTAAAGTGGGTTTTGCGCAGCGAGCTATGAACCGGGCAACCATCAGTAGCGAGTGATATGTATACATATATCATCATGGCTTGGCTTCGCGAACGAAGATCTAGGAAGGACATCCACGTCTTCTGCAGGCATGCTGGTGGCTGAAGAGGCCTATGCGGGACAAGCAGGTCCTGCCACAACAGCTGCAAGTATAGGTCTCATCTGGGATGGGTGCTGAGGGATCATGGTTCTTCCTCCTTCTCCTTTTGTCCTCCATACGGGCCCTGCGGGTATCTTCGAAGAAGGAGGTAGCCTGGTGGACTGTGTGCCGCCAGGAGTTGCGATCAGCTGCTTGTGTTGCCCACTGACGGTGATCGATGCATATATAACCTGGATCTGAGGCCTTCCCTTCACCAATGCGCATTGACCAGCACGGTGAAGTATGATAGAAGAACCCCCATCAGCTATACATTACCTCCGATTAGCACGGTTGGCTACGTACGTTTAACATGTAGGCTTTCGCGAGAAATATTCCAAATAATAGAGTTTTCTTTGGGTTATATCGTGTAAATATAAATGTGTCGTTAAAACCCGCCACCACCCGACACAGCCAATTAGTAAAGTTTGTCACGTAACACAAACATGCCAATTAATTACTAGTACAGCACACCGGTGTGTTGGAGAGTACACCCAACAACATTTACAATTCGAGTTCCGTGACTCGTTCGCCGGTACGGTGTGAAAGAAATTCAACGTACGTATGTACAGCGTTGGGTGGCCTTCATCCAGCATTGGATTGACAAATAAGCTATGAATTTACTCTTTTTATATCTTACAGGATTGTTAATATGCATTTCTTATTTTACTCTACAGAGTTGTATCCTGCTAGTATACCCCCAGTCATGTGTACATATATACTGTGTATATAAGTAGAACTTAGTCGTCGGTATCTACATAAAAAATATTTTACAAAATTTGGCCAATTGTTTTTCCAGATAAAAAGCCAATATGCCCTGTCTGGAAAGCCATTAGGGAGATGGACTAAAACACATTAGGTCTGCTTATATATGCTTTTACCCGTAATGTTACGATATGTAATGTGAAAAATGTGTAATTATGTTAGGGGTCACCCATCTAAGTACCAACCAAGGCTCGAACAAAGCTCAGATTCCCAGATACAACAAAATAATTTCAGGTGGTTCGGTCACACTTGTTTAACAATCGCTAGCAACTCGTCCACATGCACGCACACACGTCAATGGCGATGACTTGAAACGGGCAGAGCAGGAGTGAGTAGAGAAAGCCACAGGGCTGGCGTTAGTCACGCAGCGAGAAAGCAGTCGCTTGGTCGATGCGGGCGGGAGGGTTGGGGGGGTTAAGCTACAGCTCCACGTGCGCTTCTTCGACTACGCGCGGAAGCACAGGTTGGAGCACTCGATGCAGAGGTCCACGACCTCCACGACCTCGCAGCACTCCTCGCACGGCGCGAAGTCGAACTTGGGGTGCACGTGGACCTCGTCGATCAGGGACCCTCGCGAGGTGTGGACGCCCCGTCGCGGGGGACTCGTCGGCGGCGACTGGGGCGGCGTCGCGGCGGCGGCATCGGCGGGAGGACGGCACAGGCGGTGCGGGTCGCAGGGGCAGCAGGCGCCAGCCCGCCCGCACGCCCGGCACAGCGGCGCCAGCAGCGCCACGAGGCAGCAGCGGAGGGGCAGCGTCAGGCACGGCTCGCGGCAGCGACAGAAGAGGCAGGTGAGGAGGAGCGAGGCGCAGCCTGAAGAGTAGGGAGGAGGTCACGACGGTTTGGGGGAGCGGTGCAGAGGGGGGAGATCAGGTCGTAGGAGACAGGGGAAGGATGGGCAGAGGGCAGGGAGCGGAGGCGGTTAGAGGGAATTGAAAAGAGTGTGGCAAAGGGAAGGCCAAGGTCCAGATGGGAAAACAGAGTCGAGACCTCCCACAAATGGGATCTGCTACATTGGGTTGATTGGCCAAATCCCATCAATGAGTGTTTCGCGTGTGGGAGGAAACTGGAGTATCCAGAAAAATCTCCACGCTTACGAGGGGGTGACACTCAACACTGCCATCTCCTGGCCAAATCGCAGTAGGGAAGGTAGCAAAAGATCTGAAGAGGCGAAGTGAACTTGTGTTGATAGCATAAGGATACTTGATGATGATGATCATCATCATATGGCAAATGGACATAAAGGGGAATAAATGGGCAGCATAGCTTTCCCGGGCGGTTGGGGAAGGTTCTCAGAGGAAAATATATAAATACACCAGGGGGGGGGGGGGGGGGGGATACATTGTGTGGATTTAGGAAATGGAATATTATGGTGGTGGCAGTGTGGAATTCTAAAAAAACAGACGATACTGTATATGATGAATAATTAAAAGTGAAGGGCTGATAATGGTAAATGAAAAAAACCCATAATAAACAAACAGTAATGAGAGGCCCTGATGTCTTGTTATGTTTGACCTCAGCTTGATTAAACCGTGACACATTGGGCTGTACTTCAACACTGTGTGTGTATGTGCATAATAATGAGACTGTCTTCTCTGCAACCACCAGCACCACCAGCACCGTGCTCGCCCAAAGTCTGTTCTGTGTCACTAAGCGGCACAGACGTGTCTCAGCAATTCTCATCGTGTCTCAACGCCCGGTGAACTCAAATCGAAAATAGATAATGTTGTTGAATAATTGGTTGATTTAATCAACACCAGTGAAATCGCATAATAAGGGAGACAATTTCCAGTGTTGAACAACGCTGGAAAAATTTGCGTTTTGTATGTCAGTATAATTGTATTTATTTTTTTCTTCATCACGATTGCTGTACAACGGCAACACCACTAAGTGGCCAGCAACAAGCGGCACTATTGAAGGTATGATTGGTACGAGTTAACGTGTTGCTTAACTTGAGAAAGATGATAATGACGTGCACCTGTTGCAAAAGGGCATTTTATTTAACTTTGTACGTGTGCACAGCCTTTGTTTTTTTTCCATCAATCCACCGCTGGATGACGGCCTCCCCGTGCCATCTCAGAAGTTATTTGACCATACTTCACCACTCCGGTCGGCGCCATTCCGCAAAGGCAGTCAGCGTAGACGTGGGAGCGTCGAAGTGCAGTACAACAATAGATTGTCTTACACTTCCCTCTGATTTTTGTCAAGGGCTCTTGTGCTGTCATGTTCATATTGCACGCACCAGCAAAATATCCCAGTAAATTCAACAAATTCATCTGGTCACCAAATCTCGTCTGCCCCCGTTTGGTTTTAAGTGGCTCCCTAAGATCGGGGTGTTTCCGTGGTAGCACACTCGACTTGTAATCCAGCGTTTGCCGCTTCCATGCACCAACACGGCAGTTGCAACACGGTTTCAAATATTTTATAAAGGCCCCCGCCTCTGTCCACCCAGCAGCATAAACGACTACACCACAGTCGATCAACAGTTTTGGGTGTGGCGGGGTAAAAGCGAGGGTGACTTCCACCTTTTCCAAGAGGTCTTGCCCAGTGTGAAAAAGTATGCCAAATAATAATGAATAATAATTACATTCATATAGCGCTTTTCATCAAGGAATCCAAAGCGCTGTACAGGACACAGTAGCAGCAGACACTCGGCATAAGAATAATATTTTAAATTCATTTGAAAAATCAATAAATACTCTCGACAAGGGCTCTCTGAACCTCCCTCTAGTGGAGACCCTTCTGCCAGCAGTAGCATTAGCAAGCAGTTGCAGGGGTTACACCTTGATCTTTACCAACTTTACCTGTCCCGAACATTAACTTTTCTGAATATCAAATATTACCTCTTTTGGGGCACCAAGGTGACAAGATGTTAACCACTTTGCCTGGTATACAGGAGGTCACGAGTTCAATCCCAACCCTGAGGCCTGTATATTTGGAGTTTGCGGTGTCTCTCTTTCCCCGTGGTCGTTTGGATTTTTCTTCGGGTCCTCCGGTTTTTCCCTCCACATTTAGAATCAACGTCGCGTGTTCATAGTATTTGTCCGCTATAAATGTCCACTTGATAAGCCACTTCGTTGAGCTATCATTTGTGGCAAGGTCGCTTCTAAAAAAAAAAAGAGCTATATCGCTCAGTGGGCCTCACCTGGTCAAATAAAAATACAATTTTAAGTTTAGTTTGTCTTAGTGGCATGCACAAACACGCTCTCTAAACACCGTGACACTCAAGCCCAGCACGTACCATCATTGGCGCTGCTCCGGGGGGGTCGCGACGACTTCGAGTGCTGGCTGAGCTTCCTGCGCTCGCCGGCTCGCCGGGCGGCCGTGGCCTCGGTCGCCCGCCTGGGTTCGTATCGAACCGGCGGAGGGTCCGGCGCGAGTGTCGGCACCGCTGGCGGCAGTCGGCGCTCACGGCCCGCGAGGCCGCAGGGCCCGGCCGGATTGTCAAGGCCATCTCCCCGGTCCGACGCGAGTCGCGATGCGCTGGCCGTCGTCTCTTTGCCCCCGCCGATTTCTTGTGGGTTGACGTGTTCTCGAGGAGCCGAGTTCAAAGGTCGAGGGCCTGGATAAAAAGACATTAAGATATTGAGCGATTGCTTTATTTTCCGCTTGAGAAAAAGAAATCATCTTTTGTTGTCTGTATTTACTCCGGGAATTGCTGTGCCACATAAAAGAGTTGTGGCGAGATTGTGGTGATCCCACAGTCATTTGTCAGCATTATGTACCTGAAATTCATTCTCCAGCAATTTCATTTGTTACCAAAAGGCAATGCCAGTGGCATGGCCAATGAACAAATGACTTACCACTCGTTTTTTTTTTTTACACTCTGCAAAATTGTGATTTGGTCACCAAATTCTCCTTCAAGAATTGTGCTTTTTATTTTTATGAGAATGAAGCTAACGTCAATTAAAACGCACACGTGCGCGCGGTTTGTTGAAAGCAGCAAACAAAAACGCACGACTGTTTTGCCTTTCGCCAGGCCGTCAAAACTTCACGCGTTTCCTTCGCCCGCTTGCTCGTTGACTGCTTCGGCGTACCGGCGCATTGGTATGCTGCACGAGAACCCTGGAAATGTCTTCACAAACATTGGGAAGCCAGGTTTTAAAGGACAAGCAGCTTTCTCTCCCCCCCCTCCATCCGGTGTCCATTACGACATCGGAGATTGGATCAAGGGCATGACGGGGTTCGGCGGTGGCTCCGTGTGCACGGAGCTTGCGGACGTTAAAGCGGGGGATAGAACGTGGCGAAATCATTCCCGGAGTTGTTTGCGAGACTGGAACCGACATCAAAGGCTACAGTGAAAGGGCAGCGAGTGTGGCCCACGGGCTTAACCCCCCCAGCGCCCGAGTGCAATAACGCCTGGGGTCTGCCTGCGTTCAGAGTCACACGCTGAAGATTAGATTAAAACTCATTGGTACTGGTGGATCCCACGCCAAGTAAATTTCGCAGAGCAAACACGCTTCTCCGTGCCCATTAGTCCGCACGGAGAAAGCCCCCCCCCCCCCCCTATCCCACCCCACCACGCTCCGTTCTCAAATGTTAGGGCTGGGGATTTGATTCTGGAGGGTTGCATACGAGGAGGATGTGGAGGAAGAGGCTTAGCGTAGATTGCCGCATCCAGCAGAGGGCACAAGATAAGATCGGCCGAGAGGCCACGGCGGAGACTCGAGCGTGGGATGTGATGCGTCCAATTAAAAGTTAAAGGTGCTGCCCGGGCAATTGCCTGCTCACGCCACTGGTGGCGGAAGGGCCTCCACCGCTAGAGGGAGCTCTCGAGAAGCCCCACTGGAGGGTATTTGGCCTACTCGTCCAGTAGCGGCAAGACTCGCGAAGGACGCTGCTGGGCAGTTGGAGGCAGTCGCCCTCCAACAACAACAACGGAGGATGGCGTATAAAACGCAACGAGTTGGCACAGGTGGTGCGTCCGTCAGTCATCTTCGTCGATCGACCCAATGGCTCCTGGGTCTGTTCCGTGACCTCCTGCCAGCAAGCCTTTGCCACTTCACGTGGCCTCAAGGTGCACCAAGCCTGGCACAAGCACTGCTGTGACGTCACCGCCACTTCGTGCCGAACGGCCGCTGTTGTTATTGTTGTGTTTAAATGTCCGTAAAAGCGTTGCCCTTTTAACACAGGGTAAACAGTGTGCAGGTTCCCTGCAATAAATGTGTCAACAATGCCGGGAACACCTGAGTAATTGGGCCGCATTGATCTTTCCCTTTTGAAAAAAAAAAGTGCCGCAAATGAAAAATGCCATATTGTTTAAATTACAAGAAGGCATTTAGCGGAACATCAATGTGACTTTATACAAGTGCCGGGCAGTACATATGAAACGCATCCTGTTTTCACGGAAGATTTAATCGCCTAATTACCGAGTCTTATGTTTTTCCGTCCCAGGCCGCATTTCAAGTGATCAATCACGCCCACAGTTTGAAAAAAGAAAACCAGACACAAATTCTGAGCCCACACAAGGCCCGTTAGCCAGGGAAATTTCGACATAAACCTGCGATTCACAACCGTATTATTCACAGATGCGCGATGTACAATCACACTCGCTTTATTCACAGCAATCGCTTGCCAGCGCCGGTACACTTGCCATCCAGTTATTCGTTCGCAGTATGAGACGCACATGTTCGACAAATCACTTTTTGCTTGGGGTCTGTGTTTTATTAAAATGTTCAGGCCGGAGCTGGATGCGGTTAAGCACGTCTGTGATCTGGCGCTTTTAGAGGCAAGGGTTGGTGGATTACACAGAATTTGTGAGTCTCCTGAGGTGGCCAGCTGACTCAGAGGTCAGAGAGGTCGGCTGGCAACTCTTGAGTTCCTGGGTCCATATCCAGGCAAGCCGCCCGTGGTTAAACTGGCTTCTCAAGTCTTGCGAGGTGAGCCTGGTTACACATGACTGCGGAAAAATAAAGATCAATTCTAGTATTGGTTATGGAGCATTTCCAGCTCTGGGATGTAAAAGAAGATATATTGGTTTGGCTGTCATGTGACGAATATTACCCTCAGCGGCAGAGTGCTGGAAAAGTGTTGCCCACTTACTGTGTGGGCCAGAGGTCACTTGAAGGTATCTCGGGATCAGAATCTTGATTCAAACTGCAGCAATCCGATGAGCTATGAAGCTCTTTTTCACTTCGAGTTCTGTGATATTTGCGTGTGTGCGCCATCCTCCGACGTAAAGCCTTGCACTGAATGGATGCTCAATCTCATGACGTGATGTCAATAGCGCGATCGGGGTCAAATTGTTGCAAAAGGCAAAACAAATTGTGAAAATCCCAAACCCGCTAGGCTGCAAAGTGGCCAGGAGATGTAAACCCACATGTGTGAAATTGTGAGCGTCGATGTCAAATATGTTTGTACCATATTAAGAACACTTCGGTATTTGAATTTGCCAAAAAAAATCCCATGCTGGGCCCTCCTGCAGAAGTTGGTGAGACTTTTCCGGATGGATGACATGATCAGGGGCTCAGTCACGGTTCAAATGCAGATACGCTGTAACAAGACAAGGAGAAGAGGTCATTACCTCAAGGGCTTCCCAAGAAGAAACACTGTCACCACATAACCGGGCGACGCCAGACAGAAGCCCCAGTTTGTTTGACCCCGGTCCCTTCCGCATCTTGAACGAATTTACTGAGGCACGCGGACACACATAATTCTAATGAGAATATCTATTTATACTGGAGGAATCCGATGAGCTATAAAGCTATTTTTTTCACAGATGTTCAGTCGGGTCGGGTCAGAACGTTACAACAACAATAAGACACATGATCGGAGTGCAAAGTATAGGAAAGGTAAACAAATAACTAACACAAATATACACGTAAAACTAAACTATTTGTATCTTAGTAATAGATTTTTACCCTTTCAACTGGTACAAAAACTGGCACCTTTATACAAGGCATCATGTTTGCAATAACCACAACACAAGCAGTCAAAATGCAAACAAAAATAAACAACTCTGATGATGATAATGATATGCACTGTCGTGACTGCAAGGATTCATACTCTTAGTTCTAAGAGTATATATGCACTGTCCTTGAAGTTGATTGGTCCACACCCGAGACAGCTTTTCTTAGAGCCTAGTCTCCATTGGTGTTGGACCAGATGACGCCAAAAGGCATACAACTCAAAGACAGCGCACTATCAGAGTATTGAGAGCTCGGGGTAAGCATTTTTGCCACTGGTAAAGGAGGTCTCTTAGTATATTTGTATCTTGCCGGGTAAAGGCCACTGAGCTATTAGCTTATTTTTCAAAAGTGCCCTGGCCACAAATTATAGCTCAACAAAGTGGCTTATCATAGGGAAATTTAAAACAGCAAGATAATCTAAAAAAGCCAAATGCATGTTTCTAAATGTGGAGGGAAAACCCGGAGGACCCAGGGAAAAAATCCACGCGACCACGGGGAGATAGGGAGACACGCAAACTCCGAATATACAACAGGTATCAGGGTCCGGATCGAACACATGACCTTCAGTATACCAGGCGAGATAGTTTTCATCTCGCCACTCCAAACATAAATGTGGCCTTGCATGCCTGCTTGCCTCGTGCACGTGACTGAGCCATCACATGTGGTCTTGTCTCAGCAGACTTCCTCAATGCATACTTCATGACGATGCAAATCGGTGACCGCACAATGAACTTTTAACTGCTTGCAGGCCAAGCTGTTTGTGGTTCAATGCCTGCGTTTGCCTGCATTTTTTGTTCGTAACATTTTCTATCCCTTTTCAAGAGGCTGCCCCTCTCGTGTACGTGTCAAGTGCATCGTCTAAGGGTCTCTGTTTTTGACCAAGCGTGGAGCGGTGGCACGGCGGTCAACGCACTGCGCTGTGGTGAAACCTGCGATCCGAGTTTGATTCCCATCCACGGCTAACATCAGTGGCAAGTAACGTGAGAACACGCCGTGCCCCCCCCCCAACTGTGGTCAAATAACCCCCACAACCAACGCGGTATGGCGTGGCCTTCATCCAGCACCCGATTGACAAAGGGGCTGAGAATTACTATTATTATTTATTTAGACCAAAAACGTTCCTGTGTGTGTGTGTGTCAAAGTGCCTGCAGACAAGAAAAAAGATATCATGTCATTGCATGATATCTTTGTCTGTCCTTGCATTGCATCATGACCAAAATTAGGAGAATTACCCACCATCACTAAATCACTAAATGGTCCCTTCCTGCTTGTTGGGTCTAAATGCCACTTACCGTTAAATGTCACCCAACGTGCAAGCACTCGACTGGGGAGGACAGGCTGTCACTGCTATGTCAGGAAACGAAGCCGTCACCGCCACCGCCGCCGCCAAATGCAGCATTCGCGGTTGGGCTCGGTGGCCCGGCTACCGGGGGAGAGAACGGCAGCCGCTTCAGCAACGGCAAAGTGGCCGGTGCACAACAAGACCCTTTGTTGATTTGCCGATGATCAAACCCTTTTCCTCATTATATGATCTCAGCTTGTCACCTCCCCGCCTTTCCTCTTCCTCTCGTGTTTTCTCCTCTACTTCCTCCTCTTCCTCTAACCCCCCCCCACCCACCCACCAGCCCCATGCCTTGCTCTCCCGATGGCCTCT